TGCGCAGTAAAAATGTCGCCTCTCAGTAATTTGGTTGACGAGCCATACTCCTAACACGGACTCTGATCTGCCCGCCGATTGGGATATGTAAGTGACCCCGTCAAGGTACACCGAAACGGGAAGCGGCAATCGCTCCCCTGACGCTAGCGCGGCCACGACGTCAGGATGGTCACGGTACGCTGGGACATCCAGCATTGTCGGACCATCATCGTCCACCAACCCGTCAAGCAGTTTGTTGATAGAAGGGTCTGAAGCTACTTCGGCATTGACCGAGTCCCACAGTGAGCGCACAGGAAGTGTCCATACATCCCGTCGGTTCTGGCCTTTTCCAAACACTGGTACGTTGATATAGTGCAGGCTGCCAGGATCGGGTAGAACGGCGTCTAAGTGCTGTTGGAATTTTCCCGTCTGGGAGTTTGGGTTTAGGGAATACGTTGAAAAGGCCGCCCCTTGGACGCCAGCCTGATCAATGTACCAGCAGGCCGTGCATAGCTCCTTGGCGTTCAGTTGGCAACTCGCATACAAACGAAGCAGTTGGCGCATCAACTCCGACCCCGCGTGTCTCTCCTCAGTCGTCCTGCCCTTCCATCGCCGAGGGGACCTCTCGCGACCGTGGTCCATGGCGTGCCCGTCAAGTGTACGTGCTCGTGCCTTGGAGGTGCGCTTGAGACAAGACAGCATACGTTGGTACATGGTGCCAGTCATCTCATGGAACCAAGCATCCACCATAACATTCATGACTCATACACCCCCATCTCATTATCATTAGTCCTCCTCCGCACCTGTGTTACCCACCCCCACGCTTACGCGCCCACCCTTCCCGCCCCTCTTTTCTTTCCTTAAGTTTGGGGGCCGTTTGCTGTTAGGGTGTTGCAATCGAAATGGGGCACCACCAGAGCTCAACGTCGCCTCTCATGGCATAGCAACGTGCCCCACGCGACGACGACGACGACGACGACGAGGACGAGGACGAGGGCGACGAGGACGACGACAACGACGACGACGACGACGACGACGACGACGCGACGACGACGACGACGATACCAGCGCGAGGAGCTGGAGAACGCTGGGTCATAACCCGAGCCACCTCCCCCCAGGGTCCTCACCAAGCGGGGCCCGAAGGCTGGGCACGCGCCCCCCGCCAGGTGAGGGCCTTCGGGGGAAGGGCCCGTCCCGCAGACCTGTGTATCATTTCTGCTGCATTCACAACTGTATTTGCCTGGGGCGAAGAGGAGGGGGCCTTGGTTCCCGCATGATAACATGCGACGTGAGCACATCCATGTCAAACGCAGCCGTGAACCACCACTGGCTGCAGCCACACCGCGCGTTGCGGCAGGGAGAGAGCATCACTCGCAGGGGAGGGAGGGGGAGGCGCGGAGGGAGAGTTCGGGCGGAGAGTGAATTGAGTGATGGAGAGCCCGCAGAGCCCCAGGCTTTGGCAGCGTCGCGAGGACCACAGCATATTGCACGCGGCATGGCCCCTGCGCGCACACTTGACAAAACGCAGCCGCACGCATCGCCAGCATTCCCTGTCCTTACACTCCTGGCCACTTTTCTGGTCACAGTTTTGGCCCAGCAGGGCCTTCGAGTGCATTTTTGGGGTCTGGCTGCTCTCGTGGGAAATCCCATGCAATTTCCCATGCGAGGGAAATCGCATGGGAAATGACAATCCCACGGGTCATCCCGTGTATTTAACAGGGTTTTCGAACAATCCCACGCATCTTGTGTTGCGCGGGATCAGGGGCAAATCCCACGCATCTTGTCGCCCGCAAATCTTTCCGGATCCCGGAAATTCCTCGATATTTTGGGATCCGGGACCACAATTAGCATTTTCAAAAGATAGTCGAGGCTTGTGCCTGTAATCCGCTAGATTGGAGGGAATGCGTGGGCAACAGACAGCTCTGCGCCGTCGCCCTGGCGACCCCATGGCTGCATGGGCGAATTATGTCAGAAGGTCGACGCCTCATCCGCCCGCCACTAGAGCTCCCTGCCGCACACGTCCCCAGGTGTTACGTACGAGGGGAGGACAGGCGGGCGGTCACCGAAGCTCAATCCCGACCCCTCTCGCGCTTCCCGCCCTTCCTCACGCTATTCGCCTCCGCATCGGTATGGTGCACCGTCTTCACCTCGTGGCAGCGGTTCAATGTGGTCATGCAGAGCTCGATATGGTCCAGGATGCCAGTCAAGTTCGTCAGAGCTGAAAGCGCCTCGGTGTACTCCTGGCCCGAGAGCTTGGTCTTCAGCTTCGCAAAGTCGAGGCTCAAGGCTTTGCCCAAAGCGGGCAGCTCGACCGCCTTCTTGGCCAGCTGGGCCTGGTAGTCCTTGAGGCTCAGGTAGTCCACGTCGTTGACGGCCCAGCCCCACCCGAGCTGCTTCGTCTCCACGCAGCTCGTGATGTGGGTCGATCCCGCCGTCAGGGTGCCGTAGCGCTGCAAGTTCGAACGCGCCGCCGCGATCATGGCCTTCTCCTCGGTGCTCTTCTCCTGAGCTGGAGGAGGAGGGCGATGGATCGGATAAGTGGGGGCCACCAGGATGAGAAGGAGGAGGAGCGGGAAGAGGAGGAGAGGGAGGAGGGTGAGGAGAAGGAGGAGGAGGGCATATGCGATGAACACGAGAGGGGTTATTAGGAGGAGGGTGAATAATATCCTGCGTGTTTGGAGGAGGAGGAGGACGAGGAGGAGGAGGACCACCAGGAGGAGAAGGAGGAGGAGGAGGAGGAGGATCACCAGGAGTGATCATTACCACCAGGGGGGTCACCAGGAGGAGGAGGATGATCACCAGGAGGAGGAGGAGGAGCAGGAGGAGTAGCCAGGGTGATTTTAAGTACGAGGGGGATCATGAGGCGGAGGATGAGGAGGAGGTGGAGGAGGAAGAGGAGGTGTAGGAGGATGAGGATGAGGAATATTATTAGGGCAAGTGTGGGATGCGCAGTTGGACACGCGATCCTGCTTGGCCTTCTTGGCAGCCTTCGGCACCTGCGGCTCCGACTCCCCGTCTGGCGCAGCAGCGCCAGCCTCGGCGCGCCGCTCGTCGCTCGTCTTCGCACGGAGCCTGCGTGCGCCGCCACTCTTCTTGTCGCCTCCGCCAGTGGCAACGCCGATCTCCGCGCCGTCGGCGCCCGTCCCAGCGGTTCCAGCGCCGCCAGCGCTCGCCTCTAGATGGGGTCGTAATCGACCCCCCTCCCATTCTCCTCCTCCTCCTCCTCCTCCTCCTCCTCCTCCTCTCCGCGTCCGGCCTTCTCCTCCTCCTCCTCTTCCTCCTCCTCTTCCTCCTCCTCTCATCTTCCTCTTCCTCCTCCTCTCCTCCTCCTCCTCCTCCTCCTCCTCCTCCTCCTCCTCTTCCACCCCCGATAGCCCCCTTCCTCCTCCTCCACCACCAGCATCATCGTCGTCATCGCCATCGGCATCGGCATCAGCATCATCAGCATCATCAGCAGCAGCATCCACAGCAGGGTCACCATAATCACCATCACCACCATCGCCGTAATATGACTCATCGTGAGCTCTATCATCAGCATACACGTCATCATCATCATCATCGTCATCGCCATCATCATCATCAAGATCAGCACCGTCATCATCATCATCATCATCATCATCATCAGCATCAACATGATCATCAGCATTGTCATCACCCTCATCAACATCGTCACCATCACCGTCATCATCACCGTCATGACCACCACCCGCATCAACATCATCACCAGCATCATCGCCGTCAGCATTACCACATTGCCATCAGCGTTGTCAGATTCCTTCTCACCTTTCCGCCTCATCCTATGCCTCATCATCGTCATCACCCCTCCTAGTCGATGGCACCGCTGTCCCTCGCTAGCGATCGATATGGTGTCCTGCTCGCCGCGCTGCAGCTGAGCCTGCTTGACCTCCTCCAAAGACGCGCCCGGAGACGAGACCCACTCGGCGTGCAAGCTCCAGGCCTCCGTGAAGACTTTGCTGATGCCCTTAGCTCATTGGGGCACTCTAACAATCCAGATCGAAAGTAGACGTGGCGGATGATCTGGCACAAGACGGGACCAAGGGAAGTGGATAAGGGTAAGATGAGGACGGGGGCCCCAGGCGCGGCTACATTGCACCACGAACCGAACCGCAGGGCCCAGAGTGCCCTCGAGCCGATCGGTCAGAACAGATCGGACCGTCTGATCAGAGACGTCGAGCTGGCGATGGCCGTCGAGGTCCCCGCTCGCGTGAGGTATAGGCACTTCAGGCACTCCGTCATCGGGTCGAAGATGACCCAGGGCGCCCCGAGCAACATGCATTTGGAGACATACTTCACCGCCTGGGATGCGCGCAAGCATACACCCCATCGTCGGTCCCGATATCTCATCGTCCTGCCGCCTCTATTCCAGGACTCCCTCGTCGGCGTCGACGTCGCCGTCGTTATCACCGCCCTGTCCTCCTCATCCGTCTCCGCCTTCTCCTCCTCCTCCTTCTCCTCCCTCTTCCCATCCTCCTCCTCCTCCCCCTCCTCCTCCTCCTCCTCCTCCTCCTCCTCCTCCTCCTCCTCCTCCTCTCTCCTCCTCCTCCCGCCTCCTCATCCTCCTCCTTATCCTCCCTCTTCATCCTCATCCTCATCCACCTCCTCCCCCATCCTCCCCCCCATTGTTTGCTCGTGCACTGCCTGTATAAATCCCAAGCGGCCGCCGCCCTCCAGCCAGGCGATGCGGCCGAGCGGGAGGTAAGTCCCGTTGGTGTAGTCCTTCACCTCGTAAGTCGTGGTGCGCGTCTTCTTCTGGATTTCCTGTCTGGGTCCCCATCCTCCTCGCCTCCCCTTCCCCAATTAACAGTCATCCCCCAATCCACCATCAACAGTCCTCCTCCTCCTCCTCCTCTCCTCCTCCTCCTCCTCCTCCTCCTATTCCTCCTCCTCCTCCTCCCCCCTCCTCCTCCCGCCGACGGGAGGGAGGGGGGGCTGAATAGAGTTGAATCCCCATGGTGTCCAAGGCGTTGGCGAGCTGCGTGCGCGCCCAATCGGCCCTGAACATGTGGCGCTTCGACCGCTTGTTCTCGCCCGTGATGGCGTCGTACTTGCGCTGCATGTCAGGCGATGCCTTGTAGGCGCGCTCCCACCTCCCCGCCACCGCCGACACCTTGGTGTCTGTTGGCACCGAGTATCCACCAGCAGCAATCGATTGCCAGAAAGATACTTCCTCGTCAGGAGTGCCCTTGTTGCGCTGGGAAGGGTCCTTCCTCGCGCCACAACCAGCAGCCTCCTTCTCGGCGTCGATCTTGTCCTTCAAGTTGACGCCCCACCTGCTCGGGTTGACCAGGCGGCCGTCGTCGTCGATATCGTTCAGGAGGTCCGCGTTGGCCGAGTCTGGGATGCCCTTGGCCCGCATGAGAAGCCGCAGCTCCTCGGACGCGCACAGGTTGTCCAAGACCGAATGGAGCAGGGGCGAGGGGAGATTGCAAGTACGAGGAGAATTTGTAGGAGGTAAGACCGACGCCACAGCGCACTCGTTCGGCTGATCCTGGTCCTGCTTGGGCAAGAGCTCCTGGCGATGCGCAGACAGAGGGGTGAGCGGATCGGGGTGGGGACAGAGTGAGAAGGGATAGGTGTGTGTATATATACATATATAGGGAGAGGGGGAGCAGGTAGATACTGGCGGGAGGATACCGAGAATGATACTTGAGATGGAGAGGGAACGAGACCTGGATATGGAAAATGAGAGGGAGCATGAGAAGAAGTGGCCAGGCGATGGAGTGCGGAAAGAATTCAGAGTTTGATATAGTATGGTATATATGTATATACACACATCGAGTTCACACGACCACACCCCGCGAGCGGGGTTCGCGGTTATCTCAAGACCCAAATATGCATGATGTTGGGCGTTCGGGTGTATTGCGCACCGATGTACTTAGATAGAGACAGACAGAACGAGTTCACACGACCACACCCCGCGAACGGGGATCGCGGTTATCTCAAGCTCCAGCGCTTCACCAGTCGAGGCTCTCGGGGGTCTGGGGCAGTTGGATTGTCGCTCGTCTCTGTCGAAGGCACACGAGCGAGTGATTCGGCCTGTGAGACGAACTATGCCACGAGTTCTCCTCATCCGTATCTTCCTGATCGGGTGGGGCGAGGGAGGGTGGTTGGGGGGAGATGCTTGATGATGGGAACATTGTGGAGGAGAAAACTGATGGGGAGGTGATGAGGAGGGCGTGAGGAGGAAGAGGAGGAGGAGGAATGGGTGACGGATCTGAGAGGCTTTTCCAGGCGATCAGTGATGACCTGTTCGGTGTCAGAATGGGCTGTCGACCTCAATGTCGTCATCGAAGTACGACTTCTGGCGCGTCTGCTCGTTGGCCCCCATCTGCTGCTGGTAGATGGGCGCCGTGGGCGATACCGTAGGCGGACTCTTCACACCAGTCTTGGGCGTCACCTGCGGCGTCGTTGGCTCTGGGTGCGTGACCTGGGCAGCGACGCTACCATCCTCCAACAGGGCATCAGCTGCCGCTGGCCTCCGCATCTTCTTCAGTGCCGATGTCGCCTGCTCGCTCGAAGCCGATGCAGCTTGCTCAACTGATGCCGCTGCGGGGCGCTTCATCTTCCCCGCGGTGCGCTCCTCCTGGTCGTCATCGCAATTGCTCTCCCCGTCGCCGTCATTGCCGTCCTCATTGACACTTGCGCCATCTGCAGCTGCATCGTCGGAGTCGTCGTCACTGTCGCTGCAGCCCATGGTAGCCACCGACTTCTTATCATCGTTGTCCTCGGCACTGTCGGTGTCGTCGTCGTCGGCCTTCGGCTTGGCCGCTGATTTCATGGGTGGTTTCTTGTCGCCCTTGCCCTTGCCCTCGTCGCCCTTCGTCTCGTCCTTCCCCGTGCTCTTTGCCTTGGGCTTCGCCTTCGGCTTGGGGGCGGGCTGCGTGCCGTACAGCTTGAGGAAGTCCGCTTTCCTCACCATCATCGCTGGTTTGTCAGTGGTATCTGCGATATACTCCTTCGCCAAGGTGATCATGAGCTGCACCGCCTTCTCCGTGTGCTCCTCGCGGTATTTGGCTAGCTCCATGAGCTGCGTCTTGACCCCGCTCCTGAGCTGCAGCCAAGTGCCCCTCGACTTGTGGTTCACCCAATTAACTGCGACAATCTGGCCATTTTTCCAACCCTTGAAGAGCTCGTTCTGCGCCATGGGCTTGTCCATCTCCTCACCCTCCGTGCCTGGCACGGCCCAGGTCATGCCGTCGGGCCACTCGGCAACGAGGAGCTTGGATGCCCCGTCGGTGCTGCGATGCACTTTCACGTACTCAGGAACTAGATTGTGGTTCCCTTTCGTGGTGGTCTTCTCGGGGTCTGCCCTCCACGCTGCCTGTGGTTGATTGGCACATGTTCCAATGGTCGCCACCGTCTCTCTCCCTTTCTCTCTCTCTCTCGTTCTCGTTATCCCTCTCTCTCTCTCGTTCTATCCCTCATCTGCTGGCCCGAAATCACATGCGATATCCCATGCATGGGATGGCGCATGGGATGTCAGCTGCGATGCGGGCAGCGAGGGATTAGAGAGATGCCGAGATGGAGAGAGACCAAGCTAGAGATATCGAGAGATAGAGAGAGCGAGAGAGAAACGAAGGTGTGCACCATAATATGTCACAATCTGCCGCCCAGCCTGCATCTGGCTGTCGTAGCCAACATGATAGCCGTTCACCTCTGTCATCTTCTCCAAGTTCAGTTTGACAGGCCTGCCCCCGCCCGTCTTGGCGCCCTTCTTGACGCCCTTCTCCGTGCCACCCTCCTTGTCGCCCGTGTCAGTCGCCTTGCCGCCGTTGGTGCCCTTCTTGTTGCCCTCTGTCTTCTGCCTGTTCGCCTTGGGCTTGTCCTCCGCCTTCGCAGCCTTCTCCTCCCTCTTGGGCTGGTTGGGCGCTGGCTGGTCGGCGTCGTCGTCGCTGTCGTCCAGGGCGCTGTCGTTGCTGTCGTCGTCCGCGTCCTCGTCCGCGTCCTCGGGCTCGTCATCGGGCTCGAGGTTGTCCTCGAAAATGCGCACTGCCCACTTGGTCTTCCTCGAGGGGCCACGTCCCTCCTCTATCCTCCTCATCCCGCATACCCACCTACTCCATCACATTCCTCCCGAGTTCCTCTTCCTCAGTCCTGTCTCCCTCATCCTCGCCCCCAGAACCCCCTCGTCTAACTCACAATCCTAATATATACCTCCTGCACCCCCTCGACGCTGCTCGCGCCGCCGTCCCTGGGAAATGGGCAGGGGAGGTTCCCGTGGATGGGTGCCTGATCGAGTTGGCTGTCGCCGATCACCGCGCCCATTTCTAATGCCCCCCACCCCCTCGACGAAGCACGCTCGAGCGCGGTTGTAGCCCGACGGTCTTGCACAGAGCTTGGCGCACGTGTCTGAGCATGCAGCGCAGCGCGCGAGCGGTGTCGTGCGCCCAGTTCCTGATCTCCGAGCTCAGGTGCCAGTCGCGCTCCTTTGCTTTGGCGACCTTGACCAACACTGCCTGCTCAAGGTGGGGCCCCAACAAACACGCCCGCCCCCGAAAGGATGAGCAATGAAAGGAGCACGGCTGACATCGTGGAACTCAGTACCATGTGTGTTCGCCAGCCGTCCTCCACCCTCTCCGACTCCAACTCATATTCCGCTTGTCCTCCGTGTTTGCCGTAATCCTTGTAGTTACCATCCTAATGATCGCCATTGTCCCAGTCATCTTCGTCCTTGTCCTCATCATTCCTCCTTCGCTTGCACCCCGTCGCTCCATCCTTCTCCCGATCACGTCCTCGTGTTCATCCTAACACCCCTCGTCACCCCGAGTCCTCCTCGTCCTAGTCTACCTCATCGTCCTCATCCTCCCCGTCGCCTCCGCCGATTTCTGCGAGATGCCAACGCACACCTTGCGCGTCTGCTGCAAGATAGCCCTCTGTGCGAGGATGTGTGACTTGCGAAGCTTCGCCTTCGCGAGCATGCCAGTTGTGTACTTGATGGTCTCAGCCTCGCTGAGATGGTCGAGGATGGGGGAGGGCGAGGAGGGAGGATGAGGATGAGGAGGAGAAGGAGGGGGATGGCTGGATGGAGGAGAGCGGGAGAGCCATTCCAGATCAATACAGTTCAAGTATGTGCCAGCGTGGACCTCAAACAGTAAGCTGATGCAGTGCGGCTAAGCATTAGCTATGTGGTTCCATATACTGGCGGCCATGCGGCGAAACCTCGGGGAGCACGCCCAAGTCCTTACAACGGGAAGTAAGACTCCCGATATGCAAGCACCGCTGGGGGGAAACAGTGAGGACGGATGACGAGGCACGAGCATGCGCCGTCGTGATGTGCATCTCCCACACTGCCCGCAGCATGGTGGTGTCGATCGCCTGCGCCTTCGGAGCCATCTCGCCCGAGCGCCGTAACTGCTGACCCCCCGCAGTAGAGGCACTCGGCGCCGACACTTGCACACCAAACGGCTAACAAGGGTGAGCATCAGCATCAGCAGGAGCGTGGATGAGGAACAAGGGCGAGGGTTGATGGGGATGGATACCGATTACGAGGCACACACGCCTGGTGCCAGACATGGGCCCGCGGTTGCTCTGGTCATCGAAGCGCACTTGACGCCCGCAGCGGGCCCGAGGCAGGCCCGAATTAGGCCCGAGTATACCCGCGACAACTGCCGCATCGCGCCTGGCACCCGACATGGGTCTCTGGAGATGGGGGGTGATGTGGCGGCGGAGAGAGGTTTACAGTCCCCGAATCCAGTTCCTCTGGTCCCTCCCTCCATCCCTCTCCCTGTCCACTTCCGTCCAGTTCCTCCCTCCCAACGACGACGACGTCGACGACAACGACGACGACGACGACGACGACACCATTTCCCCTCACGGTCGGGGCGCGTCAACCGAGGGCGAGATATCCTGGCCCAAATCCCCCCAATCCCGACCCAGACACGCCCGAATCTACCGGGAGACCCTTGGTCCTCGCCCTCAGGCTACTCGCCACGAAGAGCAGCCGAAATCCCATGCGATTTCCCATGCATGGGAAATCGCATGGGATTTCGGCTCTGGTCAGCAGGGGGGCGGCATGAGTCCCGAAGCTTGTCGACCGCCTGCTGCGCCTTCACCGCCTCGGGCCGCGCGACCTTCGGCGGCGTCGTCTTGTCCTGTGCAGGGCGCAATTATTAATATGATGATGGGGTGAATGGAGGTTGAGGATGAGGAGGAGGAGGATGAGGAGGAGGGGAGGGATCATGGTGAATGAGATGAGAATGCGGGGGAGGATGCGGAGGGATGAGCAATAATAGTGAGTAGGAGCATGGTAGCAGAGATGATGATGATGATGATGATGATGCTGATGATGATGATGATGAGGATGATGATGATGATGCTGATGATGATGTTGACGTTGATGAGGAGGAGGATGAAGATGATGATGAGGATGAGGATGAGGATGATGATGATGATGATGATGAGGATGAGGATGATGAGGATGGCGACGATGGTGATGATGATGATGATGACGATGCTGATGATGATGATGATGGTGCTGATGATGGTTATTATGATGAGGATGACGACAATGATGATGATGATGATGATGATGATGATGATGATGAGGAGGAGGAGGAGGAGGAGGAGGAGGAGGATGAGGAGGATAAGGAGTAGGATGAGACTGAGCAGTGAGGACGAGGATCGGGAGGCGGGCCGAAGACATGCTAGTGCAAGAGATACGATGCGAGAAGGATCGCGACAGGGACGACGATGAGGACGAGGATGAACACGGAGATGGAAGAGGATACGGAGAAGATCACAGACAGAGACGAGGGATACAGCAACAGAGAAGAGGAGCATGATAAGGATGAAGAGGAGGTTGCACATCAAAAAATGCATAGCAGACGGATGGTCCTTCTCAACGTCGGCACTGCGGAAGCTGGACTGCGGCGTCGGCGGCATCTGCAAATCGTGCGTCCCGCTCGGGTCGACAGCCTGCTGCGGACACCGCTCGCGCATCACCCCGCTCCCCCTCCCATCACCTCACCTCGCCGCCCCTCACCTAAACTCACCTCACCGTCCCTCACCCTTCACCTCATTACAATACCACTCCCCTCACCTCACCGCCCCTACCACGTTTACCCCGTGGAACCTGGCCGCCACGCTGGCGAAGCCGCTCCGCCGCGTACCACTGCTTCTCGCCCTCGGACATGCAGCGCTCGGGTGGTGGCTCCGCCGAGTCCGACGGCGGCGGCTTCGACGACACCAGCGGCGCAGCGTCGGAATCGTCGGAAGCTGAGGACCGTTTGCCAGCGGGCGCCGCTGTGCACTGCCCAGGCCCTGTCCAGACTGCTGTCGCTACTGGGGCTGACCGCGGGCCCGCGGGTGCTGCTGACGCACTCCGGGGGCACGACTCCGCTTGAGCAGCAAACACCTGCTCTGGCGTGGCCGTCCTCAGGCTCTCCTGGACCGCCTTGTCCAGCTGCGCCTTCTCCATCGCCAGCCTGG